TGATAACAAAGTATTGATAAGATTAAACGAAATTAATGGGATTGAATGAAATTTCAAAATAATTAGATAATGAGAAACAAAAAATTATATTATGATAATTTATAATATACAGTATTACTTATTTGATCACTTTAAAAATGTTCAAAGAGAATTATCTACCTAAAAATCATAATTATCATCCTCTGCTGGTCTTACTCTCTTCCAATTCTCATTCATTTGATCAGGAGACTCAGCATCTGGCATATCATAATCAGTTTCTCCATCGTGAGATGAATTGTCTTGTGTAGCAGAGGGTTCAATTTGAATATCTTCATTAGATTGAACCTCCATCATCATATCATTTATTTCAACTGGAACATTTTGAGAAGTTTCAGGTTGAGAAGATATAATAGGATTTATAATAGGATTTTCTTGTATGAATTGTAATGCTGGTGGCTTATAACGAATAAATAATTAATATAATAAATATATAAAAATGAATATTAATACAATATTAAATGATACACAAATGAACAAAAATGTTTGGATTTACCTCAGGTATAATTTTGAAATTTAAAGCGGTCAAACAATGTCGTTCAGGAGGTAATCGTAAACCATATTTTAATGGAGCTGGGGGTAATGGTTCTTTATTTTGTTCTTTTGCAAGTTGTGTCAAAAACTAAAAGTTATATAAAATAAGATTAATTAATCAAGATAAATAATTATTATAACACCAATTTTAGAGTATTTAGAACCTCTTGCTGTGGAGGGTGAATGAACGAATGGTTAATGCGACCTTGTATCGCTAGTTTAATATCGTCGTCGTCTATATCATTTTTTCCGGAGTGTTCAGCGTAAGCTGCAGCGTCTTGAATAACATCTATAGTGTACCCTATATATCATATTAAATCGTTTTTTTAAACGTTATTGTTGTTGTCTTAAGAAACGACAAAAGAACCTTTTTATCAGACACTTAACGGTGAGTAAACTCAAGCAACTGTTGAACTACCTTTGGTTCGAAATCGGAGACACCTGCTGAGCGAAGGATTAGTTCCATAACCTTTGAATCTCGGGGCACTTGTTCTCGTTGTGAGGGTTGTGCATTACTTGACGGTTGAGCTGTCATGGCAGATTTCGATAATAATTGAAATCGCTCATTGGTTGATAAAGCTATTCATATCCCGTATCGGAAGATATCGGAATCATGGTCGGTTAGATCGGAATTAACTACTAGTATTATAAATTATCAATGAGGTCCAGTCCGGTTCAACTGGTGGAAGTTCTATATTAAAAAATTAATGAAGTTTATTTTTTATATTGCCCACCTATTCTATAGAACATCCTGATTTAGGCTCGGAATCACCTAAATTTGGGATACCGAAATCTTGGTTTAATAAAATATACGTAGTAACTAACATTTAGGTTTTATCGATTAATTTTGCTAAAATTAAGCTATGTGCAATGGTTACCTTTTCGATATTTTATACATTGATGTAGGTGAACAAGTTATCGGTAAATAAATATTTAAAGTGCAAGAATTTATGTTTTAGAACAAATAGTATTACAGGAAGGTTCCAAATTTCCGGATCAGAAGACTGGAGCCTGGTCGGCTGGGCCGGAATTAACTAATTTTGCTCTAATGAAATTGTAGCCCACTCACTAAAACGCCTGATAATTTTTAGTTGGATTAATGAAATTTAGGTGATAACTAAGTGATACTCATAAGTATTCATAAACAGCTTAATTCAAATGATCTGGTTCAGGTTAGTTTTCTAGTTAATCTTTCCGGAGCAC